TGTATGTATTTATATAATGTTTTCATTTTCAAAACACGGTCAAAATATTGTGTCCATGTTCATAGTAGATATTATTGAGTGTTGTTTTTTTTTTGTTTTTATTAATAAGGTTTCCATTATTTTTAGCTTTTTTTTCTTGCATGTAGATGATGCTATTACATTTGTGTTGTCGACAAGTACGTTACGAATAGGGTCCAGTAGGTCTCAATGAATATTTAAATGAGACCGAATTGAGCTATTGTCAGGTGTAGAGTGAGTCTGCGTGTCAAACATGTTGAACTATGGCCTATATAATTATTTATGAATTGTGATTGATCAAAAATACAATTCTTTAATGGACATTTAAATTCGTAAATAATATTTTCCTTATTTAATTTTGTTCTAAGAGGTGAATTATTATTTTTAACTATAAGGTTAGATGTTTTCAATTTTTTGTAATAAATAATTAATATAATTTGTTTCTAATTTTTGAAAAAATATATATATATATATATATATATATATATATATATATATATATATATATATTCAATAAAAAGAAAAACATTGCGTATATAAAATAAAAACGAGAGAAAAATGGGAAAGTGTGATTTTTTAAAAAATGTAAGCCATTCGATATGGCAACTATAGTGACATATATAGTGCCACGTCAAAAAGCACCGGATAATTTTTACAGGAGACTACAGATGCGCGAATCACGATAATACATCATCATCATCATCGTCATCATCATAGTGAAGTGGTTTGGGTTAAATGCAAAATCAAAAAAGGGAACTAAATAATGAAATGGTCCGTAAATATGAACCTGGATTCCGTAACTAACAATATATACATATATATATATATATATATATATATATATATATATATATATATATATATGTGTGTGTGTGTGTGTGTGTGTGTGTGTGTGTGTGTATTCAATAAAAAGATAAATATTTCTAGAATCTACGAAGGATAGGAAGTTGTCTCGATCGCCCATGTCCTAAAGCCACAGCAAAGAGAAGAAGCAAAGTTAAACCAAAATAATTAGGAGAAAGCCAAATATAATTCTGTTCAAGACACTTTCATGATAGGAATGCTATCAGAGCGAGCAGAACGTACAGAAATGTTTTTATGTTTTACACAAAACATTCGATAAAATATGACATGAAGATGCCTTTGAAATGTTAAGAAATCTTGATTTACACAAAAATATATTCAAATAATCCATAATCTATACGTGGAACTAACAACTTGCTGCAGAAAGAGAACAATTTATTGATTGACTGATTTGTTTTTTACAGCTAATGACGAACCATTTTACGTCCTCTCAACCTTTTGCAGGTTAGTTAAAGCCAGAAAATATTTTTTAGATTGTAAGATTTTTAGCGATGATAATGATTTACTGATACAAGTTGTACTAATTAACCCATAGCTTGTGGGAGATGAGGTGGATTCATACCTTTCTGAATGGTATTTACACGTAAGTGAATATAACGAAGCAGGCTGGTATCTTGAACTCGGATCTGTGATTTCCAATTCTGAGCCGTTATCAATGTACATCCAAGCTTACAGCAGCTGGTATTCTCAAGCTGTCACAAATTTAAGTAATGACCAGGCTCAACGTTGCTTAACCTCGGTGAGAGAACGAGTTAATTGTACACACAAAAATAGAAAGAAGATTCTATCAAGAAGTTGTTTTTTTATCAGAGTCATTTAATTTTTTCCCGTAAGGTGATTCTACGAAGACGAGAAAACCTGCTAAGTTTTATTATCGGCGGACTTTAAGAACATACGTTAAACAGACGACACTGTTGATGGCAGATTCAAATGAACTATGAGAAAACGTAGTCAAGGAAAGCAAAAGGAAAAAACTAACCATTGACTGTAAGAAGACAGAATACATGGTTGTCAGAAAAGCGTGAGATATATGCGAGGGACGAAAACTTAACATTTTGAGCAGTATTAAATTCAGGGTGAGAAAGTATATCAAAAGAAAATAGGGAATACTTATAATACAAAATATAAAATAATACTTGTTGGAAAGGAAACGTCAACAAAGAAATACAAATTAAACATCCAGTTATTTTTCATGTATTCCATCTTACATACTTTGTTCAAATATATCTTATCTGCCTGAGGAGATCTAGCGATCGAAACCCGGGTAGCGTAGTTGTGAGAGATTTTTTTCCAAGGTTTGTATATATATATATTTTTTGTACAAAAACGCACAACCTTAAAATTTAAATTCAAACTCAGCGTTGCGACCACACGTTCCAAAACAATAACACATTTCTCATAGCATTTTTTCGGATTACATCTCTATTTTCGTTGTCCTCTTATTACCGAGAAGTAAAAACAAGAACAAAATCTATTTCCATACCTGAGGATGTCTGTAGGAACAGACGAAAGCTTGTAAAAATTAAAAGACCTTATGCAACTGGAATTTATGAACAGGGATCATATCATTCATATACAGGTTCGGGGTTGATGTATCTTATTTATATTGTTTGCGAAGATGAATTCTCGCCATTTAAATCATTAACCTCTATATTTGTTTTTTGTATGGATGATTCATGAATTATATATATATATATATATATATATATATATATGGCACTATTTCTGATAAGCGTTATTTTATCGGGCGCACGTGTTTGTGTAGACATCTCTATTTATTTACAAAGTTAATAATGTGAATTTAACGTCTACCGACGTACATAGTGCTACTTACAAACCTGAGAAGCCATAGGGGAAAACAAGGAAGTCAAAAAACTATTCGTTTTAATTCATTTTAATCTTTGATTGCTTTGTGACACATTGAGCACGTTACTTTTTTTTTTATTTCTGATAATCTTTTAGATTAAGATCTATCTATCTATCTATCTATCTATCTATCTATCTATCTATCTATCTATCTATCTATCCGTACGTACATGATTACAATCCATTCGCGTACATTATACGTACACTCACAGATCTACGGACAGGTGGAAATTTGCAGCATTTTACTGATATATTATTGTCTGCAGTCAATCACGTGATATAAAATTGGACGCCAATTCTGCTTCTCGCTTTTCAAAAGAATCCAGAGACATGAATAAAAAATCTGCTGGAAAATATTGACGAGCCTAAATTATGAAATCTTCAAAGGTTTGTACTAATTAATTTATGAGCAAAGAGAGAAGAGCTATCGGCAACTTTTTATTAATATTAAATAGCTGATGCAAGCGTTTTCAAAGTGCTTTAGCTAAATCTATTATTCCCATAAACACATTGAATTATTATACTGTTATAATTAAATTCATTAGATTGTACGTTTTAGCAAAATTGTGTATTTCAGCACAAAAGAACGACTCCGTATATGATTCGTTGAATTTATTGATATCTTGAAATTCATGAAATCTCTGACTAGACAGTGTTGCATGGAGTTCTATAGTCATTTGTGGCAAAACAAAATTAGTCATTGGGATGCAGCGAAATATCCGACCGATTTTCATCCGGGAAAAAAAGAAATGATCGAATCCACCATTCAAACGACAATTGATTGCAGTATTTGTTACGTCTTTGTTGTTCACTGATCACACCAAGTAAAAGAAATTTCCGTTTATTTGAATCGTAACTTCAGTTCATAACCATGTGTGTCACTTCTGTTCAAAATCGGCTTTGATCTCGGCTTACAGGTTTCTTTTCTTTTTTTTTTTTTACAGATAACTTGATATCTGAGTAGGTAAATTTAGTATCAATTTTATCCTTTTAAAATGAGTTTATATCAAACCCATATCAGACTGGTTTTTAGATACGAATTTAAAAAAGTTAATTCATCGACGGAAACAGAGAGAAATATTTGTTCCGTCCATGGAAATGAAGTTTTATGTATCCGGGCATGCCAACGATAGTTAATCGTAAAGGCGTGTTGCTTTACAAATAATGCAAGATCTCGTATTACTTGAGTAACTCAGGAAAAGGTCATAGCACTAAATATATATATTTTTTACTTCATCCTCCTTACTTTCTTAACATTCCTCCATTTGACTATCATTTTTTCATATTATATCACATTTAAAGGAAAAACAGAGGTTAAAACTGATATTAAGTTAGACCTTGCATCAAAACCTGAAGAATTTTACACCTGCGGGATCAACACTTTGGCAAATACATAGGATTCTGTGATTAACAATTACTCCTCTCTGAAATGAAATACTAAATTAGATGGGATTATGTTATCGATAATGAGGGGAAGTATTAACTTGATTAAATATATCAATTAAGACCAAAAAAAAAAGCCTTTGTTTCTTTTCCATCTTCAAATGCAACAGGACTTTCTTTCTAACGTAATAATTTCGTTAGTTGTAACTTTGGATGTCAATTTTAAATTTAATCTAGTCACTACTAATGAGAAGAAAGCCAACTGAAAATTTAGAGCGGGTACTTGTAACCTAATCTGTGAGATTCTGCTTTGGGCAGAAAATATATGTTTGAGAAATAATATATTTAAAAAATCCGGGTGTTGCCAGTTATCGTTGCTGGTATGTAGATAAAATTGTTTTTGTTTTCTTTTCAAATTTAATAAATCGTTTTGATTCCTTTGCCGGCAGGAATTCTGGGAGCGGGTGTTGGTGGAGAAAGAAATATTTTGGTTTGGCATTGTTTTGTAGAATAATAAAGAATTACGGGGAATCAAAGTATTGTCGTTGCTGAAGAAGATGGTTTCGGGGCAGAAAGATGGAAGAGAAATGGCGGAAAATGGCAGAGAGGAAGAATAAAGATGCGACTGGGTGTGGGACGAGAGATGAAAGAAATTAGTACGGAGAGAAGATATCGAAGATGTGTAAGATAAATAGCGAGACAGTGGGAGAGAGAGAGAGAAAGGAAGGAAGGAAGAAAAGAAAAAGTGGTGGGCGAATAGGAAAGAATAGAAAAGAAAGAAAGAGACAGAATACAAGGGAAAGATAGCGAAAATGAGAGAGTATTAAAAGAGAAACAAGAATTGATTTTTTATAAGATAGAAAGAGACATTATATAATAGAAAAGAAAGTAATGGACATTTTAAATCGTGAAAGAAAAAGAATAAACGTACAGTAGAAAGAAAGAAAGAAAGAAAGAAAGAAAGAAAGAAAGAAAGAAAGAAAGTGTAAAAAATAAGATTTTAGATTATTCAATGGCGGAGGGAGGAGGAAGAGGAAAAAGAAGAAAGGCTGAGGTAGAGAGAGAAGAAAGAATACTTTAGAGAGATAAAGAGAGAGAGAGAGAGAGAGAGAGAGAGAGAGAGAGAGAGAGTGAGTGGATATTACATGATACACATAAAAAGATGTAGCAGTATAGGAACAGTTTTGTATAAATAAAACCTGCCTTCGTTAGTTCTGGTGATTTTCTATGCGTAGCTAAGATGTGGCACAAAGCCGAAAGTATGGGGCACCCAGTGCGGATCGAACTCACTATAACTGGTCTAGCGAGACAAGCTTGTTAACCATTACACTATGCCGAAGTGTTCTCGTTAGTTCTTTATGTACATAAATTAGATATTAAAGAACTAATCAATGTTTCACGATAAAAAAACGATATTAACCAATGTTAGTAAAACCTTAAGGCTATAGTATTTTCATGATAAATATATTTATTATTTACATAAGTATATTTATTATTTACATGATAAGTATATTTATTATTTACATGATAAGTATATGTATTATAAATATCAGCAGATATTATGCCGATTATTTACAATAACGTATTTGCTCGCGTAAAAGATTATTACGTAATTCAATAGTTGTTCATCATATTGTAGATTAGTATATATAATTGTACAGTTATTGATAGCAGAGTTTAATTTCACATAATTTACAGACTTCGTAAGAAAGATATAAACTCAAAAGAGAAAGATGTTCTAATATCATTGAGTGGTGTGAACACAACTTTTGGAAAAAAATACGAAAAGGTTATTGAAAGGAGAGCACAAAAAGCTAAAAATAAATTGAAAAAATGGCAATAGAAGAACAAGAAAAAAATGCTTTAAAAACATAACAAGAAAAGATTTCAGAAAATTAATAATAATAATAATAACGTGACGTGGCTTCTCGCTGACTTTTCTACAAATATTTTCATGGCAGTTGTTTTGGCGAGCTTTGGTCCTTGGCGCTTCGATTGCATGAATTTAATCGTGTTACTAGATTGGCAATTAGGTCTCACCATTTTACTATTGAACTACCCAAATGCAACCGTAAGTTCTATTCTAATAGTTTATTCTCTCGCACTTCTCACGTGTGGAACTCCCGATTTCTTGCTTCCCTCCCACCTACAATCTTTAAAAATTTAAATGCAACGCCAGTCGCAATTTTCTGTATACCTGTTCTTTTATTGTCCTTTATACACTCACTAAAGTTTTCTCATTCTCTTTCCTCCCAGTAACCGTATACATCTTAGTGGCATTATCACCTTGTTTAGAGTAAAATGATGAATAAAACTTTGTTGTTGCACATGTAAGCAGAGAGAAATGATTTAGAATATGAAGAACATTGGTTAAAAACATAAAAGCAGCTAAACTATCATCTTTCAGCAAACATCAGTTAGTGAGATGTATTAGCTGAGCAAAAAGGTTCATGAAAACTGATCTCTCAACTATAATTTTAAGTGATGAAAAAGTTACACTTCATAAAAGCTGATACTCAAATCTTGATCAGTATATATATATATATATATATATATATATATATATATATATATATGATCCTGAAAAATTATTTCGGCTGAGCTCTCGGGGAAGAAAGTGTGAGTTTGTAAACAGTGACTACCACTTCTGCTAAAGCAAGACTCTTCGATAAAACGAATCGAGTTCTCTCAGTTACTGGCGTGTTTATCTAAAAAAATAAATACACTTAAATTCACCTGCGTCCCTGCCGTGTGCCAACGGCTTAGGGGTAGATTCTCCGACTGACTCCAATTCAGCCGGGTTTCGATCCTAGCTAGAGACCACCGGATGTCTAGCCACACTGGTAATCTGTGATACAGCGAAACAGTATGTCTGTAGATAATATATATATATATATATATATATATATATATATATATATATATATATATATATTTACGGTTCATATTTATCATATGAGTATCTTGAAACTTTTATCAACATTGGTTGGTTAATATCAAGTTTGTTGTGAAAATATTGTTTTGCAAAATACATTTGACATCTCTCTCTCTCTCTCTATCTCTATCTATGAACAGGTATAGATTATTCTAACACAGAGTCAATTATTTATGAATCCTGGATAAGAGAAAAACTTCCTTTTCGCGTTATGGTGGGTGGTACCCGCCAGTTTTGACTATCGCCATTTGAAATATTGACTATTACTCCCATTGGTCGTAAATAAGCAACTATCTTAACGATTACGAAAGTCATAGCAAATTGATAGGTACGGAAATATTGAAATAGGATTGAACAGAGATAAACGAATAAGAGTAGAAGAAAGAGAAAGACAGAGAAAGAGGGAGAGAGAGAGGCGGAGAAGGAGGAGGAGAGTGGGATAGATCTGGAAAAAATATTTTAAATGATCTTAATGAAAAGGTTATCTAAAACGAAAACGAAGAATTTCCAGATACAAATCTATCGCTTGAACTATAAAGAAAGAGAGGGGAAAGAAAGAAAGAAAGAAAGAAAGAAAGAAAGAAAGAAAGAAAGAGAGGATAGAAACCAATCGTAAGAAAGAAGGAAAGATAGGATTTGGGATAGGGAGTAAAAGAGAAAGAAAAGAGAGAGAGAGAGAGAGAGAGAGAGAGAGAGAGAGTTGGAGAAGCAAGGAGAGAAGAAAAAGATGTAAGGGAAAGAGGTCAAATGAAAGAAAGGCACGTGATACAGAAAGAGAAGAAAGAGATAGAAGGCTGAGAGGAAGGAGACGTTTTGGTAGTGGATCAAAGTGCGAAAAAAGGAGAGCGAGTGAAAAGAAGAGAAAAGTAGAGAGATCAAAGAACTGTGTGAAAGGGGGTGAAGAGAAAAAAAGAAAGAATGAACGAAAAGAAATTATTATGGAGAACAAATGGAGGAAGAGTGGGAGGAGAGAACGAATGAGAATGATTAGAGAAAGATTGATATTGAAAAAGAGAAAAGTGAAGGAGAAGTAGCACGTGAAGAGACGGAATAAGTATGTGAGATGAGAGAGGGAGAGAGAGAGAGAGAGAGAGATTAAAGCGAGAGGCAGTGGGAAGAGGTAAAGAACGAGTGGGTGGATAGAGGAGAAAGAGAGAGAGAATGTGTGTGTGAGTGTGTGTGTGAGAGAGTGAGAGTGTGTGAGAGAGTGAGAGTGAGGGATAGATGGAGAGAAATAGATTTTCACTCTTATTATTTGTCCATCCCATGCAATGGGCGAAACGTTTGAACTCTTTGGAGCTAATTTAAGCACAATAGAGCTGCGCATAGAAAACGAGAAACGGACTAAGGAAACGAAAAGCAGACGAGCCGAGACGAAACGAACAGACGAAATAAAAGGTTAGAACAAAAAAAATGACAAAAGCAAAAACATCACAAAACGTAAAAAAAAAAAAAAAAAATGTAAATAATTATGTAAATAAATAAGAGATACGAGTTTTAGGGGTGTTGGAGGAGTGTTGGAAGGGTTGTACGAAGGTCGGGAAGGGGTTGTCTTTCGAAAAATACCGCCGTTAGAAGCCCTTTGTGTTTATAATTCCATAATCCTTTTTATTCTCTTCACACAAAGACACCAGAGTTGTCTTTCCTTGGATCATCTTTGGCAGCCTTTGAAGATCTCCGGGCTTTTTTGTTTTGCTTTCTATTCTTTTTCATCCACTTTGTCATTTAGATTCTTTGCTTCATCTCTTTCCAGACAACATTTGTAGATACACTTATGAGCGTACATCTAATTCTATAGATGTAGAAAGATACAAGGTCTGTCCAGAAAGTATCCTGCCGTTTTAATATGTCGAAAATCGGTGGCGCGGCCTTTATATAACTTGGCAACCAATCAGAGGGAGCCTCTCTTGTCTCCCAGTCCGTGACTTGGAATTATTTCCTCCTGTGCAGACTGACGACTGACTTATTTGTAGTCGTTCAACTTTATAGAAAATTTCACTACATTCTCATTGTGCTTACATGAACAGCCGTTCTCCCCTGGGGTTACTCAGTCGGAAATGAGACACCATTATGTAAGCGTTGCATTCACAACGAGTGGAATCTTCATATCTCATGCAGGGTTTTTCTTTGGCAAAACATAGCATCACCCAAGTATAAAAACGCACCTATACTTCAGAAGTATTTTGAAGAGGAATAAAGAACCCGTGCCCTAGGTAGGCTATTTTTCACTAATATTAAATAACAGTATACATTTCAGATAGAATGTTGACAAATCAGTTAATGCATTTCTTATCCATTTCAAAGACTTTCGCAACACAATCTTCCTAGTCTTATATTTCATGCATGTTCCAGACAAAACTTAGATTTGTAAGCAACTGTGGACTTGACTCCCTGTTAAGATAATGGTGTATTTCTGGCCGGCGACAGTGGTCCACGTTCGAACCCATGTAAATAATAATTTTCAAAGTTTATAAAACTGACGTAGAAGAATTTCATTTTGATCTAAAAACTTATATGTACGTTTGTCGAGCATTAATCTTGCCAGAAAAGGGGAAATATTAAAGAAGCCGGGTCTAGTATTCACCGTACGTGAGATAGATATTATGCCTGTTTCATAAATACGCCTAAGATTTTTATTATGAAAATATTCTAAAATCTTCACAGAATCAAAATCGAAATTATGATCTGCTTTAGTTGTGTGTACAACTAAAGCATTGTTTAAATTTCCGAGGCGAATATCTCGTTTATGTTCTAAAACACGAGATTTTACGGACCTACATGTTTCACCCACATGTTTTTTTTCGTTTTTCATTTAAAATACTCAAATTTTAGGAATACGTTTTCACAACATCGCCCACGTGACGACGACGTGATCATATTCAAACGGAACGCTGATCTTATAAAAGATTTCAGTTATCTGTTTGGATAGGTCTTGCTTTTATGTCCATCGTCTTCATGTTGAATTGAATATGGTCTATGTTAATTATGTTTTATGAATATGTCCTGAATATGGTCTATTAGACCGAAACGTCCGACGTTGACATTATATTAACATTAAAACAGCATAATTGCATATTAGGTTTTTTGTTTGTTTTTTTCCGTATATTTTTCTTCATATATATATATATATATATTCATGAATTATTCATACAAAAAACAAATACAAAGGTTAATTATTTAATTGGCGAGAAATCCATCTTCGCGAACAATTCAAATAATTCGAACCTGTTTATGCATGAAAAGATCCTTTTTTATAAATTTCAGTTGCATAAGTTCTTATTATTTTTACAAGCTTTCGTCTGTTCCTACAGACATCCCCAGGTATGGAATAGATTTTGTTCTTTTTTTTACTCTCAGTAATATATATACAGTCAACGACGAGATTATTCGTACACCCATCAATTTTGAATATTTTTATCTATTTCTCAGAATCTAATGCCAGTATGATGTCAGGTTTTTTTTTATATGTTAATAAACAGGAATATAAAACTCAATTTGCAGGACAATAGGTTAAATACAATAAATTTGACTTATGACAGAGAATTATTAACTTCCACAAGTCGAAAAATAGTTACAGTTTACATTATAAAGAAGTTTAAATAGTTTGTCAGGCAGAGAATTTGCCTGAGCGTGGAAGGAAACCTAAGTTGTTTTCAAAGACATCGCCAAAAGTTTGGATACGATTAGTATCAGCTGGAATACTCGCACAGTACAACTTTGTTTAAATAGAAATGAGTTTTATGGAAACGGACCACGACAAAACCCTCTTCACAAACCATGTAACATTATTTCTGGGTTTAATTTTGCCAAAATGTTCTCGAACATAGAAAATTGCTTTTGGGAACAAGCACTATGAAGTGATGAAATAAATATTGAACTTTTTCGATATAATGATATACAGAAGATTTGATGCAAGAAAGGTGAGTCTTTCAACCCAAAGAACACAGTGGCAACATTAAAACATGGAGGCAACTTGATGAAGTTTTGGGGTTGTTTTAGCTCAAGGCGGACTGGGCAATTAATTACAATAAAAGGAATAATGAAATCTGCAGACTATATAAAAAATCTGGATGAAAATCTACAACTATCAGCGCAAAATCTTCATCTCCGTCGGCGATTTACTTTCCAGCAAGATAATGATCCCAAGCATACGTCTAAATCAGTGACTACATGGCTTAAGAAAAAAGGGATTAAAGTTCTGCCATGGCCTTCAATGTGTCCTGACTTAAATCCTATTGAAAATCTATGGTAAGAATTGAAATTTCGATTAAATCGTCGGTTACCAAAAAACCTCCAGGATTAGAACGTTTAACCATTGAAGAATGAAAGAAAATCTTATGAAAAGGATTGTATAGATCTCATCAAAACTTTAGAAAACGATTGCAGCAAGTTATAAAGATGAGAGGCCATGATATTAACTATTAAGATTGGGAAAATTCATTTTTTTTCTATTTTCCATACTGTACGAAAAATTTTGTCTTTTCCTATTTTGCATAATTCGCCTGTCGAATTTGTTGTATTTAACATATTGTTCTGAAAATTGAGTTTTATATTCCTTTTTTGTGCTTAATAATATAAAAAAATGAAATCGTACGGGCATTAGATTCCGAGAAATGGATAAAAATATTCAAAATTGATATATATACGAATAATTTCCTCGTTGACTATATATATATATATATATATATATATATATATATATATGTATGTATGTATGTATGTATGTATGTATGTATGAATAGTTCAAGTATCGTGCATTCATTTTGCACTAATACCGTTGGAAATGGTATCAAACTCCGCAGTTATGTGGTAAGTATCAGACTAGACTGCGCTATCTAGGCGCCAGTCTAAGACGTGGAATTTTACTAGAAGTCATTCCACTATCTTAATGTTAACAGAAAAAATATAAAAAATGGAATCTGAGAAGACCCATGTTCACCTACGACTTGAAAAGACATACTATTATATATATATATATATATATATATATATATATATATATATATATATATATATATATTGTTCTAATCACAGGTGAATGACGCGACAAAATGACTTGTTACATGAAGACGCGATACTTTAAAAACCCATATGGCGCGTGTACTCACGATATTTGAAAAGCGACGAAACAGCCACGACACAAAACGACAAGAACTCTTCGATAACAACTCATGAAAGTCGAAAATACTCAAAAATTTAACAATTTCTATTTAAATTTGTAAAAAGGAAAAACATTCGAACCATAAAAATAAATAAAAGTCCTTAAGAAATAACTGTATTTGTTCTTAAACCAAACTATATTTAACTATATATATATATATATATATATATATATATATATATATATATATATATAAGACAATAATGTCAGATGCTTTATTTAATCCTCTTTATTTTGCTACCGACAAAATCACTTCAAATCCTCGTTAAAGTTCATTCTTTGATTCAAATTCTACATTCTAAGTTTAAAGAAGAATTTAGGCATAAATAGTGAATATAATTTCAACAAAAAGCACGCGACATAAACTTAACTTAATGTTTTACAATCTTTATCTTCAACTATTCCTTTTCAGCTGTAATATTCAAACAACACTGTAATTTTTGTAAAGTGTCAATTGTCATCTTATATATCTCTTCAATAGCTTTTGCAAATCCGATAAAAGATATTCACATTCGTAATACAACATTTATTGTTTTTTAAAGATTTTTTAAAAAGCCCAATTGTTCTTTTGTTTGAGAAAGGACGCAGACATATGAGAAAATTCCGATATGAAACATTTTTCTCTTTATGCTTCTATTTTGCCTACTGAATAATAATAATAATAATAATAATAATAATAATAATAATAATAATAATAATAATAATACAATTTACAATACACACAGAGAGAACAATCACAGCTAATCGGCGAGACATTGTGATCAGTGACCACGAAAACAGAATATGCCTTCTTATTGACATGGCAGTCACTGAAGATTGTAAAAGATTGTAAGATCTTCAAAAAAAAAAAAAAAAGAAAACTAACAAAATACAAAGATCTTTAAATCGAAATCTCAAAAATGTGGCACATGAGGACATCAACAATTTCAGTTGTAGTTGGAGCCTCGGATTGATTGAAAAAAGTTTCATAGACTCATTGAAGAGATCCCTTGTGGCCCAAGCTTTAAAGAAATAAGACAATTCTACTCATAAGTACAGCTTCATTTTTACAAAATGTGTGTGAAGTTAGGTTTTTTTTTCTTTCAAAAAATGTTCAGTTGGAAATGTCATGATGCCGTTTCTGAACTTAGGTCCATGGTTGGGATCCGGAAAGAAATGAGTATACCCCAGAAATCAAAGGAATAATAATAATAATAATAATAATAATAATAATAATGATGATAATAATCTTTTTCTTTTTTTTAATTGGCCTACAATATTTATATTCTATAAGAAGCATATGTGCTTTTATCTCTCTATCGTAGTGTCTTTTTCTCTCTGTGTGTATCTCTTTCTCTCTCTCTCTCTCTCTATATATATATATATATATATATATGTAGAGACAGACTTTCTTTCTGTTTCTTTCATTCTCTCTCGCTCTCTCTTTCTCTCTCTCTCTCTTTCTCTCTCTCTATATATATATATATATATATATATATATATATATATATATATATATATATAAAAAGAGGCAGACAGACAGACTGACAGAGAGACAGGAGAAGGAAGTGAAAGAAAATACCAAATGGTGATTTTTAAAATAGACAGTCTCCCAGTTTTTAGAAGACTGGGACAACCTCTTAAATTACTCATAATTTGCATTAGAGAAGATTAGATTACTAAATGAACAAGAGTGAGCGTTCTAGGCAGAGAGAGACAAAAAGGGAAATTCCCAGTTGAAGGATTGTGAGTTCGATGCTCACTGAGTGCTTCAAAGTTGTGACAATTCGCTTTATACTAAGTAATACCTCTCCATTTAAAAATATATATATAAAAGGAAACGTATAGAAAAACGCGAGATATACAGAGATAAGGTGAGCAGAAGGAGAAAGAAATAATGACTCCTCAATGAAGGCAGATAAAGGAGTTAATGAATAGCTAAAGGATGAAATCTGAAAGCAGTTTTAGAAGAATTAATATCGAAAAGCCCCAAAATGACCAAAAAAAGAACCAAGAAAAGCGATAAAAATATAAATAACAAAAATAAAAAATCGAGAAAATAAAAAGAAGAAAAGGAAAAAAGATGACTTTTCGGAACGAGGCAAGGAAAATGCCACGACTTTCGCTTTAAAATCCTCTTTGGTGTTTCTCTATTTATTCTAGAAACGGATTTCTAGGGGAAAGTCGTCGTAGAAGATTTGGCCAGAAGAAACGGAAGCTCCCCACGTTAAGCCAAAGTCACGCCACGACACTTATTCAAAGCTGATCCGAAACATTTCACAACTAAACAAATGACTTCTTACAACAAATTGAGAGATGCAAAAAAAAAAAAAAATAAATAATAATAATAAAAAAATCTATCGCAGACATTTTTTATTCTGACTCGATGTGGCCAAGATGGGCTTAGGAAGAGTTTTATCTAAATCAAATTCATCTTATAATCTCGCATTAATTCGTTCTGTCATTTATTCGGACCTCTTCTGCAAATATAGATATTAGTGGCAAGAGAGATAGAGAGAAACAGAAATAGACGGATGGACAGATAGAGAATGACAAAGGAGATAGATAGATAGATAGATAGATAGATAGATAGATAGAGAGAGAGAGAGAGAGAGAGAGAGAGAGACATTGACCATGGAGTGTATATATATATATATATATATATATATATATATATATATATATATATTTAATTAAAAAACAGACCACTTTTAAGGTACCATTACAATAATTTATTTCACCAAAATCCTTTTTTAAAGGATTTCGGAACATCAGGTAACACTTCCAACAATGAAATGAGAGGAAAAATGTGATATACATATATATATATATATATATATATATATATATAATAATAATAATGGGATATATATATATATATATAATAGGTAAATCTATGCCAAAGTGGAAAAAGTTTTCGTGTGACGTGTTTCGTCCTTTAAGACTTCATCAGACTAAAGTCATGTTTATCTTGATGAGACTACACATGCGCACTAAGGAAAAAGGACGCAGAGAATTTTACATTTAAATTTAAAAAAATAACGGAGAGAAAAGTTTGCTAAGCCGTTGGGTGAATTTCTTCTGGTGTCAATTATGTTGTTTGATGCAAGGTAAAAACTTGTAAAAGATCTTGCCAAAATTGTGTAGAATGTTCCAAGTAATACAAGGAAGGAAGTTGTGTGATAACCAGTATATAATTTATTTTGTTAACAGTCGAAAGTTTTAAATGAATATTCAAAATGCTATAAACATGCAAAAGACTTTTGCATTATATGGATAAAATGACCATGCAGTTCAAAAGCATTTTCCCACTTAAATGGGTAAGGAATTGTATTAGATACCTCCACATTTTCGCTAAAAAAGAGCATAGCATGATGAAAAAATACCCAAAACTCGATGATAACAGTTTTATTGTTAAAATATTTATGCTATTATTAAGAGGAAAGACCAAAGTGTTCTTTTAGTTATTTTATTACATTTTTTTTATCCTTTCTAGCACGTTCGAAATTATGGTTGAAAAACTATTTTTTCGACAGCAGTGGAGTAAAGATTGTTATAGGAGTTTTAGCGCCTTTTTTTTCCGGTAAAAAAAAAAGAAAAAAAAACGCATTAATTTGGAAATTCTTGCAAAAATCAAATAATTGACAGATTTTAATGAGATTTTCAGGACTTATTCATAAAGAATTTTTTTTTTATTTTTTAAATATTTTATTTGAGAAATTCTTGGTAAGATATTTTTACAGCTGTTACCCCCCACCCAATTTATTTTATGAAATTTCGAGAAATTAAATTTTGATCGGAAAATTTTTTGTTAGTTAATAGCAGGATTCCTTGGAGAATATAAATCTTGATATTAAATAAAAAACTATATTTACTAATTGAAAGACTTAATATAAATCATCACGCAACAAGATTTTTAAAAGAATTTTAAATTTTTTATTAGTGTATAAACGTGCCGCGACATTAACAGAAAATAAAAGCGATAACTGTATTAAATTTAAAGCCAAAATTTGTAAAATTCACTAATACATTAGATTACGGAGAATATTTTCCGAATTTTTTAAGATTACTGAGTACTTAAAATTATATTAAAAAGGCACTCATGCCATTTTCTTAAATTATGTTTAACAGATATAGTCTCCGTAGAAGAACAATCAATGTGTCATCATCTCGTCAAAGACGTAAACATGGCTACTGTCGGTGAAAAACACTGCTACTGTATGCTTAAGAAATTCATTTCTGCGATATTAAAATAGATAATAATTTGTCAAATCAGATTAATTTTAGTTTAAATCAGCTAATATTCCTCAAATAAAGTTTCAGAAAAGTATATTTTATTTTGGAAATTTATTTTAATTACATTGCGATGAAATACTATTAAAAAGAACGCTAATCAGCTATTTTAGCAAAATAAATAAAGAAAAATGAAATCGATTCCAATCAATATAATTTCTGTTTTAAATACACCAGATTATTTTGTTTACTGGAAATATTAAATTAAATCTTTTAGCTTTCAATTAAAGAAAAAATAAAAGCTTCAGGAACGCTTTTTCATTTTTTTAAAATTAATTTAAACGTCAGGTATCGCGATTTTAGTGGAGGTACCTAACTTTTATTGACAGTGAGTTGCTTTTTGTAAAGAGCTTCCAGAATTTTTAATCGTTATTTGTAAGATTCTTCCAGAATTTTTCGTCTTTTTTGTTGTAGTTTGAGTGACAGAGTACTGTTGTAGTGTCTATGTAAATCTGACAGAAATTCGGAGGGGCACCGTGGATTTGTATTATATGAAAATTTTGGTCAACAATACAATATTCCAACTACAGAAAATGATTTAAATTTTTCAAAATCTTTGGCCATATTATGATATAGTAACATTCATGCCAGTGCACCGTCCCTGCCTAACTGTAGACAGTAATGCATGTTGCAATAACTAAAGCAGTTTCTGTCTTCATGCAAGTGATGATACTTTGCATGTGAGACGTAGACCTAGAGAGCGATATCTTTCAGTATATATGCATCAACCGTAGCTTCATGCTTTGTGCGGTGCTATAAATTACAACTTGCTCACCTTTGGTGTTTGTGGATGAAGCACAGAACCGGCCCATGTAAAACAAGAACACCGTTCAAGCTATTGTTCTACGATAAATCGTACTTAGAAATATCTGGTGTCGGTGGTCGTTGGTTTTTCAGTATGATAACTAACCGAAACGCATTATGAATTAAGACAGAACATACTCATCGAATGTTGAGGTGATAACCCATCAAGAACTTACAGTATTAGTCTAGTCAGAACATTGAGGCCCTGTGGTGTCCAATTCTATCCCCACACTTCTAATGCATCAAGAACTAACGAACTAACTAGCATGCCCAGCATATTAAATGAACAAATACAAATGATTTATGTAATGTTAGGATGCTGAGAGAAAAATGTCTCATTTGAAATCAGCATGGCGGCCAATTAAATTGATGTAAATATAATGCTATATTCAAATATTACAATAATTCTGCTAAATATTAATTTTGATTCCGATATTTACTTGTTTTACTTGTGCCTATCTGTTATATTACAAAAATACCAGCACCTTTAGCAAATTGACATTAATGTACCGAAATAATTCACGTTAAAATCCGTATCATTCGAAAGATAGCTTTAATCTGTTTATGGTTAAAAAGAATTGTTCTTAAATTATGCTCAGCGGCTTCTAGGAATGGATATTTAAATTTTTTTTATAATTCTACGCTATCGTAATTCAATTCTTTGATGAATAATCACATTGATCTGCCATATCGAGAATCATTCTGTTCAGGACTTGTTGAACTTAACCGTTTCAGCACTAGATAGAATTCGACCTGCATAATATTTTAGATTTTTCTAGAACTCTGCCGAACATTCTCGATATACAGTAGTTATATATAAACTAATTGCACATTATCCACCGTTTCATTGAAGAGTGAATCCGCTGTATGGTGCTGTAATCAAAGCATTAGACTAAAGTAAAATTTTAGATAAAAATTATGTTTATTTAATACGAATAAGCTTATATCTATCTATCTATCTATCTATCTATCTATCTATCTATCTCTATATATATAAGATTATTATTATATTTTGGTAAAATACGGTCGACTCGGATATTTCGGATAATGTCTTTTTAATAGGATTTTTTTGCATCATGCTGACGCATGTTGAAATCCTTACAGTATTTAGTATTGTTGAAGTTATCATTAACATTGTTTTTCGAGATTTACAAACTCCACGTTTCATTCAATTTCGCGAACCAATCGATGAAATATAAAAACTCCAAAAAACTATATGCAAAAAATAATATTGCATTTTTATTAAATACTAGCTTAAAAGCCGCTCTTGATTGGACCTTTATCACATTAGGTAGGGAGGAGTAGATGCAATTAATAACAATAAACTACAGAAGAACTCAAAATTGTTCGCTGCATTTAAGTATTGGATTAATATTTAAGCTTACCTTTTAAAAGTTCAACGATATTCTTCTGTCGCCACTTAATTTAAAGACAATTTGATGTATGTAGGTTCTTACTTTCCGTAGAAACAATTATTTTTATTTCATGGATGACTTTCACTGGATTTCGCAATTAATTTCGATTATTCCCAAATTTATTTCCAAGTCATAAAAATTCTTATCATACAAAAATATTCGTTTCAAAAAATCACATAAAAAAATCGCCGAAAACAATTGAGAATGCAAAATTTCAGGCTTATGAGTCTGGATCCGGTCCGAAATGTTTTGTTTTTTTTGCTCATGGAGTAGGCCTAATTCCAAAATGGTATGATATGTTGGACTACAGTCTCTAGGACACACTGACATTCGCATTTATTATATAGAAATATTTGTCATTTTAATCATTAAATTGTTTTAAAAATAGTCGGAGTATTTTGGATGTTAAATAATTTTCTTATAATTTTTCAAAAAAAAAAAAAATAATGAAAATTTATTGTATTAAGGTACTCACCCTAGTAAAACCAACTGTACTTTGTACCCGTTTACCGTACCCGCTTAGGCCAAATTTTGGGAAGAAGTGAATTTTGTTTTCGATCGATCATTTGGTTATTTTAGAGGGTGTGACGGACAGACGGATTAACGGAAATCACAGAATTTTATATATCGATAGATTAGTCGAATAAGCTAATGTTTTGTTATATATTGGATCGGAACAAAATTTTGTTGGGTTTTTAAGGGAATTTCAAAGACGATATTTAGATATTTTAACATAAGTTTATTCAACCGCATTTTTTGAGGCAACTTCACGATTTCATCCTCCCAGAACCTGACATCTTTCTCTGTGATGAACTAGTTAGAAAATTCATGTTCTTTTTTTTTCAGAGATTTTGTAGGGATCGAAATAAGCGGTGTAGTAGGTTTCTCAACTAAGTTGTACCAACCTCTGCTTGTTCTACAAAGAGACATGGTCTCTGGTGTTAGGGTTGATGAAAGATGATACCCTAGCCATTGGCCAATTACGGATGCTTTTCATCAATTGTTGTCTTGATACGCTCCATTTGAGGAGAGTATTTGTCTAAATTCAATGTCTGATCTTGTGGAAGAAGCTCGAAAAGCACTATTTCCTTCCAGTTCCATTAGCTATACAGCCTCA